GACCGGCTAGAGAACAGCGATAGTAAATCAGAACCACTTGCAGAATTGAGTGATAATGATTCGTGGGGAAATTCATCATCAGACACTGAAAACAATTTTGCGACTTTGCTCAGCGATGTGCGAATTTGCCTCTGTATTTCAAACTTCAGTGTTTTTGGTTTGATTATATTATTGAATTAAATTTATTATTATTATATTATTATTTTTTATGATTATTTATTAAATTATAATTTATGATTTCGTGTTTCAAATTTTATCCTACCCGGAATGTTTAATAGACTCTTGTTCGTACAGATTTCAGTGAGTTATTCCTATAATATTACAGCCTACAATAAAAAACTACATATTTCCATGCAAAAAAATGGTACCGCTTTCAGCACAAAAAATCGGAAAGAATCGTACCGCCGAGGAGGTTAAGGAATGAAGTGATGATGAGTTCCTCTTATGTTGTAATCCAGAGTATTTCTAGTAAATTTCTTATGGAGATAGTTCTGTTTTTTGGTGTTTTTACTAGGAACTAGAAATGAAGTAGTAGAAGTAAACTCTCAGAAAAAATATTTGCGTTTGTAGGGCATTGAATGAAAAACAGGATCACATTATGTCTATGTTAAATTCAGAATTTCTGTCCTTGTGGGATGTGCATCTTATATATTCTTTGTAATAACTTCCTGTGGGCATGTGTGCACATCAGGGGTGACCGAACATCACAGGTCTATTGTTGTGACTGCAGTGGAAAATGACAGGGCACTGTGCCAAGGAGCTGTATCACAGTTGAGTAAGTTTTTTGAATTAAGGAAAAGAAACACATATGCATACTGTCAGGATAATGAGGTCTGATGAACCTCCAAAATGAGTGAGGAGAAGAGAGATTCATACTGAGCACAGTGCCACCCTGGTTTCTCCAAAATTCACAAGTCTATGACAAAACATTCACATTTGAATCCAATGTCTGTGCTGCAGCAAGGGACAACAGCTTTTAAAAGCCACAGACAAGACTGAACACATTACAGAATAAGCAGCTCAAGACAGATCAGGTTCGAATGCATAAACAGCACCTAGAAGGTGTGCAAATACCACCAATAACCTAATTAAACCCATCATAAACAGTAGTATGTAGCAGAAGTCTAGCAAGCCAGCACGCTAATAGTAGTCATAAACCACCATTAACCATAGAAGCAATACAAGATTGGGGTCTAGCTCTACTTGGACTAAACCTTCTCTTTTCATACATCTCCAATCCCTCAAACACTACACATAATCCATAATCCTGGTTTTGATAACATTACATTCCTAACAAGTAGTGATGAGCCAAACTTATGTCCAATTCCTTCAAATAACATTTCCATCAGTTTTCCTGTACATATGATGTAATCAAGCCCTTACGAAGGAAAATATCTCATACTGGTGGACAACGCCACTGGATATAAAATATATTTTAGGAAGGAGTTGAGCAGTTATCTAATCCTTGGAACCCAAGAAGATAAAGCAAATTAATAATTAATTAGAACAGCACTCCTCACCACACTGGTCACATAAATAGGCAGAGCTACGGTACTATATAATCCGCCCAAAAATTTAAAAAATCTACTGTGCAAAAATATATCTTATGACCATCAATAAATGGAAAAATACATCTATGTTCTGTGGTATTATGAGATTATTGTGATGTTGGGTGAAAAGATCAAATATATTATAATAATTTTTCTTTTTGGTTTGCTTTTATTGCTATGTATTTATCTATTTATTGATGGTCATAAGATATATTTTTGCACAGTAGATTTTTTTTTAATTTTCTGGGGATTTTATAGTAACTCTGCCTATTTATATGACCAGTGTGGTAAGGAGCGCTGTTCTAATTAATTATTCATTTGATTTATGAAGGAAAAAACTTGCCAGCAATGACTTTGAAAGCCATCATTGACAGTTTCTTTGTTTTAAAAAAAAAAAAAAGAGCACACAGACCCCTCCATACATCTCCCATGCATTTTGGGGGACCTTTGGAGGGGTTTGGGTGCTATTTTTTTCAACAAAAGGAACTGGTGGTTGTGTGGGTGTCATCATAATCTGAAAACGTAATAATGAGGACCCAAAATATCAGCCCCCCTATGTAATTAACTATGGTGTACATAGTACCCCTACTCATTCACAAAAAAGCTGTCACTTAGAAATAAAGATTTTTGACTATTCCTTTATTTAAAAAAAAAAGAAATCCAAAAAAAGTCTCACGTAAACCCATTGTCAATCACGATGCCCACCACCCGGAGACTGAAAAAAAAAAAACAACAACCCAGTGCAGGCAACTGATCCTGACGGTGACACTGACCAAATGACAGTTCCTTGAACTCCTCCTTGAGATATGCAGCAAATCCTATTACTGTATATCTGTCCAGTTCTTGGCAAATTTTTGCATTTTTAATGATCTCACGCAGGGCAGGCAGACTTCCACAGCCACCAGGGAGCATCCACTAGGCAGGTTAGAAAACCTGCAGCAGCTCATTTTCACCCCTTAATTTAAATGATACTGGCAGCACCTCTTTGCATGAATTACTACCTTCATCTCTCCCGTTGAAAAACATTCCAAGATTATGGTGTGCTCTGACCTGCTTGTAAAGCTTAGTGTGCTCTACTATGGTTGTCACCCTCTTAAGTAAGTAAAAAGACTTACTACTATTTGTAGAATGACTAGGAGCTAGTCCTATTAACGTCACAAAATAGGACATCTGGTTATGGAGATATCCTTCTGTTGAGACACAATGTAGAAAGATTTGCCTTAAAAATTAAATTTACATTAAATTTACATGGTAAATCATCAGAAATGAAACCTTAAAAAAAAAAAAAAACTTTATAAGAAGCAGAAAATGAAAATATTCTGTTCATATGTTAAAGGATTTCTAAAGTCACAACATATATTTTAAATTTATAACATATAGCATTGTAATAGCAATACAAACAATACTTATATTTGCAAATCAAATCAAATAGAACTGTATAAATATCCCATATAAATATACCAAAATTGATATATATAATCAAAAAAGTTCTGATGTGTGAACAATATGTAAGATAAAGTGACTCTTGTGCTTTGGTGACTCTGGACCCGGTATCAGTGCAAAAGTGGTATAGGTAATGCGCACTCACCAGACGCGCATGTTATTTGCGCCTTATGTATATAATCCAGATGTCATCTGATAGGAGAGGGTTAGGAGATGGATGGTCTTCCCTCTAAGGGATGGTAGGTCATCAGACAGGATGCTAAGAGGCTGGTACAGATGATCCTCGTCCTCTAGGGGTCCCCCTTTCCAAAGCCTGTTGTTACTCTCTGGGTAAGCAGATATCCACTAAAGGATAGTGATCCGTCCTGGCGTGGTGGGTCTGTGGGTTTAAAGAGCTCCCCCAAGGGATAGGAACAAGGACACTCCCATAGTGTAGTAGGTGATAAAATTGCTTTATTGTGATGCATCAAAGGAAAAAAATAGTAAGACAGCAGAAAGAGATCGATTAGGACTAACCATTTGATTTTCAAAGATGGCCGCCGGAGCTCCAAGTTGCGCCGGCGGCGTGACGTCACGGCGTGGTGTGGCGCCTCCTGCACCACGCCTTTTTCAGTGTCTGATGATGAATTTCCCCACGTATCAGATTCACGCAATTCTGCAAGTGGTTCTAATTTACTATCACTGTTCTCTAGCTGGTCTAAAACCGCTTTTGACCAAAAGGGACACTTTTTGGACGCCATGGACTTTTCTCAGTTTCCAGGCAGAAAGAACAGTAAAAATGCAGGCAGGGCACAGGACAAAGCACTAGGGACAAAATGTATGTGAAATGGTTTGATACAGTAATGTTTTACTATGTGATTTTAGTGTATTTAGTGAATGTCACGTTACATTTCCCGCCGGTTCTGGCCCCCGTACGTTCCGACACTCGCAGGGACCGGAACCCGGAAGACGGATGCCGGCATTGGCCGGAGGAGATGGTCAGGGACGCTGCAGGGGGGACATCGCGGGAGTGCAGGACAAGGTAAGTGAAACAGGGAATCCCAGAGCAACGCTGCAAAGTAATCCCGAGTGTAGCTCGTGGTTATTGCTTTTGGTATTGAAAGTTAACCCCGAGCTGCACTCAGGAATACTGCTAGGGAGGTTAAAGGATTTCTAAAGTCACAACATATATTTTCAGTTTATAATATCAGCATTGTAATAGCAATACAAACAATACTTATATTTGGCAATCCAATATAAGCTTACTTGAAAAATCTCCTTTCATATTGTGAGTTCTGCCTGTCTGATGTTTATCTCCTTCCACAAAACCCTGGATTCCCTCCATGCTTTGCAGTTTGCATTCAATTTATTTGGACTACATATCCCATGGTACCATGCTGCCTGCAATCAGTGATTCCTGTATTAACTCCATATCCTGAATCTCCTCCTCTGCACCTCTGTAGTTCAGAAAGCAGGCTCTGTGAAATATGTAACACAGCAGTGTTTATTCCCAGGGCATAGTGAATACGTGTCACAGAATTCGAGAAAGGTAATGTGTGGGGATCTATGCAAAGTAAATTTGTAAACTTCTAGATCATTCAGATTAAGAGAAATAGGCTAATTATAATTAAAATACAATGTAGAAATTAATATATGATTTTAACCTCCCTAGCGTCTGATTATGTCAGTATTTCTGTGTTCAAAGCAGTACATTATTTTCAATGGAAATATGTAGTTTTTTTATTGTAGGCCTGTAATTCTTAGGAATAACTCACTGAAGTCTGTGCGAACAAGAGTCTAGTAAACATCCCGGGTATGTTAAAATTTGAAATACGAAATCATAAATTGTAATATAACAAATAATCATAAAAAAAAATAATATAATAATAATAAATTTTTAATTCAATAAAATAATCAAACCAAAAACACTGAAATGTGAAATATAGCGCCAAGTTCACACATCACTGAGCAAAGTTGCAAAATCGTTTTCAGTGTCTGATGACGAATTTCCCCACAAATCATTATCACTCAATTCTGCAAGTAGTTCTAATTTACTATCGCTGTTCTTTAGCTGGTCTAAAACCGCTTTTGACCTAAAGGGACACTTTTTGGACGCCATGGACTTTTCTCAGTTTCCAGGCAGAAAGAACAGTAAAAATGCAGGCAGGGCACAGGACAAAGCACTAGGGACAAAATGTATGTGAAATGGTTTGATACAGTAATGTAATACTATCAGACTTTAGTGTATTGAGTGAATGTCAAATTTTTACATTTTTTAAATTCCCGCCCGCCGCCCCCCCCCCCCCGTACGTACCGATGCTTGCAGGGAACAGAAACTTGAAGAATGATGCCGGTATCGGCTGGAGAACATGGCCGGGGACGCTGCAGGGGGAACATCGCGGGACTGCAGGGCAAGGTAAGTGCTGGAGGGAATCCCTGAGCAACACTGCAGTGTAATCCCAAGTGTAGCTCAGGGTTACCGCTTCTGGTACTAAAAGTTAACCCCGAGCTACCATCAGGAATACCGCCAGGGGGGTTAATTTGATTTTTGACCATAGATACACTGTAATAGTTGATTCAATGCTTTGCATACAGCATATGAGTGTTGTTCTGATAAATGCCAAAAACACATTAAAACCAAATAGGTTTCATTTGATATGGAACTGTGAACATGTTTATTTGGATTCGATGTTACATTTGACAGTTCACCTACAAGACTCCGCATATTTGTGAAATAATCTTAAAACATGAAAATCAATAACCTAGTACAGGTTTCACTTCACACCCACATACAGAAACCATCCCACCAGTGTGTGCTTTTGTGTGCGTGCATATGAACATAATTGAACTTAAACATCACCTCAGAGAGAGAAGCCTGCCCAAACTTGTAAGCAATGTTCACCTTCAGAATGATGCAGAAATGAGCAGTATAGATTAAGTTTTGTTGATATGGAAAGGGAGACCCCACCTACTCAGCCAAGACTTGTGTAGGTGGTATGTGTGGGAAAATCCTACCCTTTTCCATTGCGCACGCACAATTGCTTCCTCTAGCCGAATGATTTTATTTTATAAATAGATTTAATGAGAGGTCTTGTGCAGTTCAAACATGTCAAGTCAAAAAGGTAGCACCGTGCTAAATGAACTTAAGTATTGTGCATACATAGCATTTCATGCTTTTTAATGCTCATAATACGGCAATGCTATGTGTATACTAGGATTTCTGTTGGATGCATGAAATAGGCAAATTTGTCCCAAATGTAAACATATAGATGCAAGCTATACCAAGAGACAAGGTTTTTAAAGACAATACTGATATGTTTCTTTATCTATCTATCTATCTTACAGAATCTCTATCTATCTATCTATCTATCTATCTATCTTACAGAATCTCTATCTATCTATCTATCTATCTATCTATCTATCTATCTATCTATCTTACAGAATCTCTATCTATCTATCTATCTATCTATCTTACAGAATCTCTATCTATCTATCTATCTATCTATCTATCTATCTTACAGAATCTCTATCTATCTATCTATCTATCTATCTATCTATCTATCTATCTTACAGAATCTCTATCTATCTATCTATCTATCTATCTATCTCTATCTATCTATCTATCTATCTATCTATCTATCTATCTATCTATCTATCTTACAGAATCTCTATCTATCTATCTATCTATCTATCTATCTATCTATCTATCTATCTATCTATCTATCTTACAGAATCTCTATCTATCTATCTATCTATCTATCTCTATCTATCTATCTATCTATCTATCTATCTATCTATCTATCTATCTTACAGAATCTCTATCTATCTATCTATCTATCTATCTATCTATCTATCTATCAATACTAATGTGCAAAGGTTTTATGCAGGTGTGAAAAAAATGCTATAAATTAAGAATGCTTTCAGAAATAGAAGTTTGTAATAATTTATTTTTATCAGTAAACAAAATAGAAAGTAAATCAACAGAAGAGAAATCCAAATCAGATCATTATTTGGTGTTACCAACCTTGCCTTCAAAACAGCATCAATTCTGCTACGCCACTTGTACACAGTTTTTGAAGGAACTTGGTAGGTAGGTTGTTTCAAAAATGTCAGAGAACCAACCACAGATCTTCTGCGGGCGTAGGCTGCCTCAAATCCTTCTGTCTCTTCATATAATTCCAGGCAGACTCGATGTTGAGATCAGGACTCTGTGAGGGCCAAGCCATCACTTCCAGGACTCCTTGTTCTTTACACTGAAGATATTTCCTAATGATATTGTGTGTTTGGGGCCACTGTCCTGCCACAGAATAAATTTGGGGCCGATCACATGTTTTCCTGATGGATAAGTATGTGCCTGTATTTCTTAGCATTGCAGACACCTTGGATCCTAACCAAATCTCCAACTTTACAGAAATATAGCCCCAAACCTACAAGGAACCTCCACCATGGACTGTTGCCTGTACCAGTGAAGACACTCATTATTGCACTGCTCTCCAGCCCTTCAGTGAACAAACTGCCTCCTGCTACAGCTAAATATTTAAAATTTTGACTCATCAGTTCAGAGCACCTACTGGCTGCCATTTTTATTGCATTTTAGTTCCTATGATTTCATGCATAGTTGAGTTGCTTAGCCTTGTTTCCACATCTATGGTATGATAGTTTGGCTACGATTCTTCCATGAAGACCACATCTGGCCAGATTTGTCTGGACAATAGATAGGTGTACCTTGGTCCCACTGGTTTCCACCAGTTTCATGCTCATGGCACTGCTGGACATCTTCTGATGTTGAAAGGAAGAAAGCATGATGTGCATTTCATCTGCTGCATTAAGTTTCCTAGGCCAAACACTCTGTCTACGGTCCCAGCTTGAACAGTGCATGTTCCCCTTGAAATCCCAGTCTGCCTTTAAATTTTGGCCTGGGAGAGACCTTGCTGATGCAGCATAACTACCTTGTGTCTTGTTGCTGTGCTCAGTCTTGCCATGGTGTATGACCTGTGTTTGACCTCTATGACCTGCGACATGGAACTGTCTTCCACAAACTCACCTTGGTAGCAGAGTTTGGCTGTTCCTCGCCCAGTTTTAAGCCTGCTACACAACTGTTTCTATTTTCAGTTAATGACCATGTTTCAACTTACATATGAAATTGATTATGATAAGCACCTGCTTGATATAACTGATTAATCATATACCTGACTCTGATCCTACAAAATCCCTGACTTTGTGCAAGTGTACAAAGTGTGCAAGTGTTAGAACTGATGCTGATTTGAAGCCAAAGGGTAGTCACACCAAATATTGATTTGGTTTAGATTATTCTTCTGTTCACTCACTTTGCATTTTTTAAACTGATAAAAAAAACAACTAAATATATACTTTTAATAAAATCTATTGCATTACAATAATAAGATAATGACCAGAGCAACCCTGTGTTCTGCTGATGTAGCCAAGAGGCTGAACCACCACTGTCTATAATGTGGTCTTATGATTCAGCAAAGGCTGTTTAATGCTCTAAACCAGACATTTTTAACTAGGGATCCTCCAGAGGTTGCTATGAGTTCCTTGAGCTGTGACGGATTGATCTCCAATTTGATGGGGTGTGCATAGCTCTAGGGCCTGTGTAAGTTGTCAAAGCCAGCAGCATAGTCAATATCTTTTTAGCTGCCAGTAAGGGTGGCATTCTGACCACCACTGTAACGTCTGCTTCTTTCTACTGTCCACCAATGAAAGGGCCCCCAATTATTGATTTAGTAAGGGTTCTCTGATACCAGAAAATAATTATAGGGCTTCCCACAGGGTCAAAAGGTTAAGAAAGGCCAAACACCCACTAGGTTGACTATAAAATGACATAATGTATATATAATATTAAAAACAAATTAATACAACTTTCTCTCATGTTTGTCAAAACAGGTAGGCAAGGACGTAGGAGTTATGCAACTAAAAATATGCACATGAAAAATTAGATTGCAATTCATGAGGCAGATTAAGCCCCTGAATAGCGTGGCTAAGATATAAGTGTAAAGAGCTTCTGGCATGAATGAAGTTTCATGTGACACATCATATGCACCTTTGGGATTTAGTGAACTCTGTAGTTAAAGTCTTTTTTGCAAGACCCACAACTTGTGCATACACACCTAGAAACTCTAGGTGACACTTCACTAATTATTAATTTAACTGGAAAATTACATTGCATGCTTTAGCTTGTTTTTATAATACAAACATAACCATAATTTAGTACACAATTAAACTAATTCAATAAAATCTATTTGGCATGTTGTTGCCCAAGTCTTGATAAAATCTGCAGAATCTATACTAAATAAATAAATAATTTATAAACATATAAACTTTCCTTTATGCAGAAAATCGATCGTTGATACAAAAGTATTTGGTTAAACCAGGCAAATGCACACAGACACATGTAAATAAAAAAAAACCCAACTCTTTAGGCCATGAACCAAGTTCATAGAACTTGTTTGCAGCCATTTACTTGACCGAGCACAGTAATATTTCCCAATCTAGCTATTGGCTCAGGAATCACACGTGAAGGCTGTCTGTTTTAAGAAGAACATTCAATTTGTGCATCCCAAAATATTAAATTATTTTTATGGTATTTGAAAACTTACAAAGCTTTAAGCTCCCTACCCCTGCCCCAAAATATACTGATATGAACTAGGTAATGTGTTAGGAACATAAGGATGCCCCATCATTTGATGGAAATTAAAATTATCAACCTACACAGGACTGAATTCAAAGACACCCCGAAAATCAAAGTGAAAAAATGATGCAGCAGGCTAGTCCATGTTGCTGAAATTTCATTGCAGCAACTCAAAATGGTACTCAGTAGTTTGTATGACCTCCACATGATTGTATGCATGCCTGACAGTGTTCATAATGAGAGGATATATGGTGTCCTGGGGTATTTCCTCCCAGATCTGGACCAGGGCATCACTGAGCACCTGGACAGTCTGAGGTGGAACCTGGTGGCGTCAGATGGACTGAAACATGATATCCCAGAGGTGTTCTATTGGATTTAGGTCAGGCTAGTGTGGGGGACTTTCAGTGAATTCAATTCCTTCATCCTTCAGGAACTGCCTGCATACTCTCGCAATACGAAGCCGGGCATTGTCGTGTACCAGGAGGAACCTAGGACCCACTGCACCAGCATAGGGTGCCATTGTCTGGCCTGTAGAGGTCTATGCGTCCCTCCATGGATATACCTCCCCAGACCATCACTGACCCACCACCAAAACGGTCATGCTGAACGATGTTACAAACAGCATAATGTTCTCTACAGCTTACCCAGACCCTTTCACGTCTGTCACATGTGCTCAGTGTGAACCTGCTCTCATCTGTGAAAAGTACAGGGCACCAGTGGCAGACCTGCCAATACCAGTGTTTAGTGG